AACGAAATTTCTGTAGGTATCCATTACTTTCTTTGCTATTGGCATCCAGAGTGATTCCAGAGGATAAAGAGTCTTTTTTTTTTGGAAAGTTGTTGTAGGCTATGGCATGCAGACGTGAACCAACCTTTCACTACAATAGTGACGTGATACGTTGCCTGGCCCATGGCCGATGTCGCGACACAGGAGACATTGCGCGACTCCTTTAGATTTTTCAGCGACAACCGGGCCGTGCCAGGTGGTTGGCGATCGAGCATATTGCGAAAGAGTTGGGTTCCTTGTTCAAACCATGCGACCGTAGGCACAGGAACGCCCACCGCAGTACAGGTTAGTGTGATCTGTCCGCCTGGTGGCACCACTTGTTGCGCCGCAGGGACAGACGTGAAGTGTGGACGAAAGCGCTCAGCTGATTAGTGGAAAAAGAGAGGAAGAGAGATAAACGGTGGAGAGAATGGGAAGCATTCCGGAAGCCGAAAGACCGAAAGGCCGAAACCAGGAGCTTATAAATGCGTAAAGCATTCATAAAAACTACACCTTTCGTCTAGAAATGAAAATCCAAAATCCGGTAGCAGTGAAAAAAAGTTACATATCATTCGTGCAAATCTAGAAACAAACCATTCCAACCAGAGGGGTGGATTGAGTGGACTGTCAGTAGCAAGGCTTAGAGGTTACTTTTTCAACGGGGAAAACGAAACATTTAGGTGATAGCTAAAAGCTAAAAGTAGAGAATATGTATCGTTTTCTTGGGCTACAAGAGTGCAGATTTGCAAGGAAAATGAGACTAGCGGCTATATTTTACCACAACTTGGAGGTACAAGATCCACTCACTGATACATCACTATTATGCAGAAATAGGAGACCTTTTTACTTTTAACTTGAAGTGAAATTTCTTAATCGGAATTCCTCACTAAAGGCCTTCAACCAATGAAAAATCGGAATTGAAAATTTGGACCAACCAACCAAATTTTGATTTTCATCTCATGCGAAAGGCTGTGTTGTGTCATAGACAGATAAACCGATCTTTTCTTAAACATACAAGCAAGCCAAAGCCTCATGCAATGGACAAAAAAGGAGGTTCTGAGATGGTCACACCACAATCGAACTTCGTCCATCCACCATTCCCTCATTCACTCAATCCATCTCCATTTTGAGGAGGCGCAAGCTTGAATAAAGCGACCTACTTTTGAGGGCTATGATCTGCAGGGCCTCCTCAATATCCTCTGCAATAAAGAAGATATTATAAGAAAATATTCCTTTCTTGAAATAACAATAAGTATTTGAGAGTACATGAAAGTACATGAAAGTTTCCGTGACCCAGGTTTTAGTCGGAGAGAAAGTTACCCATCCCATTTCTTATTCAAAAGAGATGTTTTGACTCCCCAAGTTTCACCCAAGGATAGCATTTTCTAACAATTCCTAGATGTACAGTACATTCTTTGTGCTTTAATTTTTTCCCTCTTTTCGTCTTGTAAGGGAGGATGAACTGAATTGAA